AATTTTCTATTGTTTATATTGATGATATTCTCATATTTTCAAAATCAATCGATCAGCATTATAAACACTTGAAAATTTTCAAAGATATTATTTACCGCAGTGGTTTAGTAGTTTCTGCTCCTAAACTAAAACTGTTTTTACCTAAGGTCAGATTTCTTGGTCATGAAATTTGTGATGGGAAAATTAGACCTATTAATCGCAGTATTGAGTTTGCTTCTAAATTTCCCGATGAAATTAAGGATAAAACTCAGCTTCAAAGGTTTCTGGATAGTTTGAATTATTTTCGAAATCACTACAGAGATCTTGCACAGGATACAACAATTTTGTACAACAGGTTAAGGAAATCTCCTTCCCCATGGACTTTGGAACACACCAAGGCCGTCCAGAAGATTAAACTCAGAGCCAAACAAATTCCTTGCTTAGCTCTAGCCAATTCTTCATGGTTCAAAATTGTGGAAACAGATGCATCCAATATTGGATATGGTGGTATTCTTAAACAGAAGAATCCAAATACAGGAACAGAAGAGCTTGTTCGCTTTACTTCAGGAACTTGGAAAAATGCACAATTAAATTATTCAACCATCAAAAAGGAAATTCTTTCTTTGGTTAAATGCATTTATAAATTCCAAGATGATTTAATCAATCAGAAATTCTTGTTACGCATTGATTGTAGTGCTGCTAAACAAGTACTGGAAAAAGATGTAAAGAATTTGGTTTCCAAACAGATATTTGCTGGTTGGCAAGCTGATTTATCTGCTTTTGATTTTTCTATTGAATATATTAAAGGCAGTTCTAATTCTTTACCTAATTTTCTAACTCGTGAATTTTTGCAGGGTTCATGAATCAGCCCCCCCATGGGCAGGGCCGGGGTAATACTCCAAAAGCTCGTGGCAAAAACAAGGCTAAGGCCAAAGTGGTTATACCACTAAATGATGATCAATTTCCATATTTGGATCATGTTGCTGATCTGCTCAACACACATTCTAAAGGAAGCAGCAGTACACAACAGAAACAACAGAAACCAACCATGAAAGAGGTTCTTGAACAAGAGACTCCATGGATACCTAATCAAAGGTATATTCAGACAGTATTGGTACTGGATTCTCAGGATGAGCAATGGATGCCAGATCCTTGGGAAGTGAAATCTAGATATTTCCAAACTCAACAATATGCTGCACCGGATGGTCGCCATAGATATATCTATGAAGCCATTCTTACTGAAACTTCCTCTGTGGAGATCAACCACACGAAGCAATTTCTGAATTCCAAAGATAGTCCTCTTACTTATAGTAAAGCTATCTTTAAGAGGCTTATACGGCCTAGTGACTGGGGATTAAATCCTAATTTGCCAAGGAAAATATCCTATGGTCACAATTACAATTATTGGGATTATATCTCAGCTTAGACATATTCGTTCTTTTATCAAAATCCGAAGCATAAGCATTCTTGGTCCTTCAAGATGGGTTATACCCTGGTGGGCTATATTTGGCCCTGATCTGGATATTTTGCCAGAGGCAATCCGGCAGTTATACTTGCCATGGCAACAATTTCATCCTCAATTACGGGGACAGGATAATATTCCTGTAGGGAAATCCACCCTCTTGTTCTTTACTGAATTTGGAATCCCTTGGATTTGGAAATGGGATTTCCAATGTGGTTATACCACTGACAAGTTACCAGTCCTTCAGAGGATCTTTTATTACCGATGGTGGTCTGGCATGACTCAAGACCCTATCCAAGCCCTCCTCCATCATATCAGAAAGAAAACACTGGAATACATGGATAAAGTTCCAAAGTTAACTATTCCAGAACCCGAAATCTTTAACCCATTTGAACTTGTTAAGGATATGATCAGAAAACAACAACCATTAATTACCGAAGCCGATTTAATAGTTAAATGCATGGATTTTATGAGGACCAAATTTGTTAAATCTTTTGATTCCTCCACACCTACAGTACGAGATGATGCATCCATGGTGTCAGTATCTAGCCAAACCAGTCAAGACGGTAATCAGTTTTCCTGTCTCGCTGGGTATGCCCAAGATCCCAATGAAGATCTTATTTCTGAAGATGAGCCTACAGTAGCCGACTATTGGGACTCTCTCACCAGTCACTTGATGGACAAGATGAATCCACCCAAAAAGTAAAGATTCCTCTTATCCTACCGACAGAAGAAGACAAAGAACTTTTACCCAAAGTCTTTGGTTCTACAGTATTTCCTTCATCAGATGTCTACTTTCCATCAGATAAGGAGACAGAACTTAGTGGTGGGCTGACCGACTGCATTATTCCAGCACACGATCCCATTTACTTTTTTATTAATATTACAGGGATGCAAATGCCATTTTATATGGTCATTAATGATGTGTAGATGAAGATGAACTGTCCTTAATGGTAACTTTTTGATACATTGGGGATTACTTGCTTCAATATATAGAAGGGGTATTTGCAGGTTTTAAAAAGTTGAGTAGGTATTTGCAGGTTTTAAAAAGTTGAGGGGGTTTTTTTTTAGCATTTTGCTCTTTTAGTTATCTAAACTAAACTTTTATGGTTAACATATCATTATCCTACTCTCCCATATATATCTAAGAAAAAGCACGCGCAATCGTGATGAATGTTTTGTAATTTATAGAATTTTTTTTTTCATTTATATATTTTAAATTGTTTATAGTATCTCTCTTGCATGTCCCTAGGCCCGCCAATGAAGGATGAAGGAATAACCACTCTTTTCTCACATTATTTCTTCTATTTTCTCTTGCCACAACACTATTAACAATTCATTGATATAGCTCAACACGGTTATGTGATTGTTCTTTCCGATAGTAATTCAAACGTTATTTTCTCTTGCCACAACACTTTCAACAATTCCTTGATATAGCTCGGCATGAATATGTGATTGTTCATTTCGATAGTAATTCAAACGTGTTGTTTCAATCTAATGTATCAAAAATATATTGTTACAACAACCTCCCGACATATAAGATTATCGATCGGTCATGGTTGCGGATTTGAAGCTTTTAACAATAATAAATATTTTTTATATTAATAATTTTTGTTTAATTAAATTTTCTTTTATTAAAAAACTCATAATAAATAGATAAATAGGTAACTTGTGTTAAAATTTTGTAGAAACACTTTTAAAAATTCTTTTTATATTAATTAATAATTTTTTTTTATATTAATAAATAAATACTAAAACTCTTTACATTTTAAATACTAGAATAGATATATATGATTTCCTACGCTCAACATAGTTATCTTTCTTTGTTGGAATTAATATCAATATAGGGCGAGTTTGATTTAGTAGAATTAATTTCAAGCAGTTAGTAGAATAAATATAATTACGTAGGGCCAGAAAGAGTTCATTGATTTAGAAGAATATATAGTACGCATGCGCCCCTTGTGGGCTTGGTTGATGGGCCATTTGTCCCACGTTATAATTTTCAGATTTGCTGGAATGGGCCAATTTTATATTGTACCTTTGTTTTGGGCTATTTAGCCTTTCACTGTACAGTTTCCTCATTAATAAATTGCTTTATCTTTCGAAAATAAATAAATAAATAAAAAATTGTGGTCAGTATTTACAGTTGTGAGGTCTCTCGCCTTCATCGACCATGGCTTGGCCTGGTGTTTTTGGTTGTTGGCTTAGATCATTAGCATTTCTTTTGTTGTGGTAAACCGTAAACTTTTCATTTACCTACTAATAATAATAATAATAATATATTTGTAAAGTTTCATCTTAGATTAACATGTCTACAATATTACTAAGTGAGCATTGGTCAACACCACTTTAATGATAGGGGTAAAGTACAGCTACACTTTCTCAGGTTTACCAAAAAGATACACAGATGAAACTTACCTATTTTTTGGACAAAGACACCCTTATACGAAACTCCAACCAAACAAGGCCTTAAATCTTCTGAAAAGACAAAATTACCCCTCAATATTAAAATCAGATTAATTATAAAATATCAAATACAGTAAAAAGATACAATTACCCTCAGTTTATTTCAACCACAAATTACCTGCCAAGTGAAAATTGGCCTCTTCCCCCCCTTTCTCACATTCATTGCGCCACAGCCAACGCCGCCACCCATCTTCCCCTCTCTCTCTCTGTCTTTCTCTCTATATATATACACAACCGACGTTCACTCTGCCGCCACCACCACCACCATCGATCTAAAACTACCGATGGAGTACGAATATGAGAATCGCAAATCAGAGGCAAAATCCCATTGTGAGAGCTCCACGCGCCGGCAATCATCTTCTTTATCTAGATTGCCTTCCCTACACGCGCCGCACATGCCACCATGGAGCTCTCTGCAACAAGGCCTGAAGCGACGTCGAGGCCAGTTCCAAGGGTTGAAGTCTTGAATAGCAGTCCCTCTCTTCCAAGACATAGAAATCAAACAATGCCGTTAGCAATATCTGTTCTGTCGCCAATGCTTCTGAGTCTTGCTGGACTGAGAGAGAAAGAGGAAGAGGGCGGATTTGTTCTATCCTCGATGCTTCTGAGAGAAAGAGGAAGAGGCCGATCACCACGTTGTTGGAGCTTTAGTCTACCTACCCAGGGTGTTGCCGTATATATATATATATGGAGAGAGAGAGAGAGGGCGGTGGCGATGGCCATTGTCTAGACCATCGTCGCCACCTGCATCTGGCCCATTAAGAGAGAGAGGTATTAGGTATTGAGAGAGAATACACTGCCGATTTTTTTTTATTTTTTTCATGAGGGGCAGATTTGGCCAACTAATTAAATTGTAAAGTTAAAGAGGTTGCTTAAACTATCAAAGGGTAATGCCTTTGTCCACTTTTGAACCTTCAAGGAGTGTCTTGTTCCAAAAAAGTGATAAGTTTTATGTGTCCTTTTGGCAAACATCATAGAGTGTAGCTGTACTTTATCTTAAATTCAAATTTCCTGTAATGCCTGTCCTGAAAGCTCATAACTTATCTGGGACTTTTGTTATTACAGCAACTAACTACATTACTGAATCAAAGAATTCTAAAATCTTTTTGGCCGTCCAATTTGATTAATTGATCTTTAAGTGTCAACCCTGCAAATTAGAACATGAATGTTTAAGATTCAAGATTCAACGAACACAAACCTTAATATATATCACTCTATGGGTTCACCAACCAGAATCATGTAGGAGAAAGGAGGCCATTCCTCCAGTTGGAAGCTATGAATTTTATTGGCAGCTTGGTAAAGTATTCACTTTTAACAGCTTCCAATTGGTATATATACACTCGGTTACCTTTCTAATAATTGGCGGTAAGGGAACATCTGTTGCATGATGCTAGCGTACACTTCATATTTGCCATTACAAAATGTTGTCGAACCAATGTAATGCTATCAGTCAGTTGTCATAAAATCATCTTTTCCGACATATAGTCATGCCGTCACCTATGGGTACCTAAAATTCAATGGCTTAACAGTTATGGATAAATAAAATTGAATTGCTCAAAAAAATGTTAGATTCAAAGGAAAAACTCTTACACTCACCATACTGATGCTTACACGCTTGTCCTCCATTAAACTCCTATTGAAATTCCTTATGTTGATAGTCTTCGAGTCTTTTACCTATTCAACAGACCGCAGTTGAAAATTAACCAATATTTACAACGGGCAGAGTTTATAGTTTCTTTTATTTACCAGTGGATCGGCAACTTTTCCGTGCCAGAGGACATTATCAATCACAATAACACCCCCAACCCTCACCTGCAACAGGAGACTAAAAAATTAAGTATATCCTCACAAACTGCAGCAAGAAAACTGAATCATTAATTATAACAGATCCGTAAAACTAAATGGTGTATATACATCAAGATGGACCATCTAAAGCTTAGGACGTAGTCTAACCAGTTGTAGTAGCAGTTCAAAGTATTCCTGATACATTCGCTTCTCAGCATCGACAAATGCAAAATCATAGCTGCATAATAAACAGGAGATATGTGACGTATGTAATTAGACTCCCTAGATATCTGAAAAACTATAGTATTTTCAGTTTTGCAGAAGAGTACACAAGTAAATGCATATGGCCTCATGGACATCTTTCATCCATATTTATCAACAACTCATTTCTTGAGGGCGAGGCAGCAGATTTTCAAACTAATTGCAGTTTGCATCAGTGTTCAGTCCAAGTCCTTCGTGAGTCATGACTGAAATCAAACTAATTCGATATTGGTTCTGATAGGAAGTCCCAACAAGCATTTTGACTTTTTTCTGGAGTCATAATGAACCCAATGAAGCTTCAAAATGGGCTTAAATCCACTGTGACCATTTGACCACCTCAGATAAAATACAAAAATGCCATTGGAAGGTCCTATTTTAATCTCGGGCTTTCTACCTCTTTTGAACCAAATTTTGAGGACATCCCGGATAGCTAGAAAGCATATGAAATGAACCATCCACTGAAGTATGCTAGACATTAATACTAGTACCAAGATACAAGTAAGAAGTTTTTTGAAAATGAAATTTTAAAGGACCTTTTTGTGGTTTTACTATTACATCTCCAAAAGTACTTGGGGTTCTCAAACAAAACTAAACTTAACCTCAAACTCAAACACACCTTAGTCTAAGAGAATCCCATTCCATCACTGCACAGAGCTGGATTAAGGGAGTAGGTTCTGAAGAAAGGTATGGAAAAGCCGAAACTGAAGTTGGCACTCTTGAACAACTATTTCTGTCAGTTTCAGAACAGTTTTGAGTGTCCAAGGACACCCTAAGAGGTTTAAACTTGGAGGTAGGTGATTTAAAATCTTTTGGTTACTTCTGTTTTGCCATGCATGGTCGTGCAAGCTAGTTAAAAGGTAATCATATAATCTTGTAATTTGAAATTTATAATATTGGTGTGTTTATTTAATGATTTTAACATATATTGGGGAAAAAAAAAATCGCCATTCTTCAGGGCAGTCCCTACTCCCTAGTAATCAAGAGTTGTGTATACTACACCAAAGAATAGCCCCTTGATTTTAACATTTTTATTATGCTTAGAATATGATTTAGATTTTGATAGGCCAAAAGCAAATGTTATTTTGTACTCTAGCTTAAGATATTGGTCTAAACTGCTTATTTTCAGGTAAAAACCTTGATAAATGATTCAATGTCATGATTAGATAATTTTTAGCCACCGGAATTTGTTGAAATTCCTGATTGAATGAACCTTGTGTGTATTATATGATTGAGCATGTTTATTACTATTTTGCACTTTTTACCAGTTTTTATTTATTTATTATTATTTCTGAAATTTTATGATGAAAGTTTATGCACAGTTAGTTCAAACCTGGTTTAATGGAAATTAAATGCGCATTATAGAGTACAGTTTTCTAGAATTTACAAACTTCAGTAGTCTGAAATTTGATCATTGATCAATGTTTTTTGAACTTTTAGATCATATTCAAATGTTAGAATTTATGCTTTGGCTGCTTGAACTGGTTTATTTAAATTTATAGTTTTACATGTCTAGGGTAGCACAGGTAAGCTACTTTCTATCTTTGTGTAATGTCTGCTTGATTATACTTCTTTATTGTTTAGTAAAGTTTTCAAACTGTTTTTAGTACGGTTTAGCCACTGGACTTTATATTTATATGGCTTTAATCAATATTGCATGTCTATGACTTCTTATGGCTCTTTATAAGACATATAGCTCAATTTGATGAATAAATCAATTCTAGGGTTTAATTTTGAAATAACTGAAATTCTCAGAATAAGCAAGATCTGTTTGACTTCATATTGCATGCTTTAGACACACAGGTTTCAAATTTTAACTTGTTCATCACTTAGCCTAGATTAAATTATGTTTATTTGATTTTTGCATAATATTCTTTTGTTGGTAGACCATGGATTTTCACATCTGACACCGAATGTGGTAAGGAATTTTCATCATGACATTCAATTAAGTACCGATACACGGACTGCTTCAGAAAAGCGCCCCTGCATGAGCACTTGCACACATAAAGCTGTTTGGAGAATAATTATAGGATTGACTCCTATAATTAAGTCACTCCTATAATTATTCTCCAACATGTTAACAACCATCTACTCTAAAAGCTTAAGCTACTAGAGAGGGTGCAACTTTAATATTTATATCCTTCAACATGGCCCCTCACGTGTGGCCTTCTTTTGGTCCAACACGTGTATTTCAATTTTTAATTAGGGTGACGGTGAGGTGACGGTGAGGTTTGAACTCGAGACTTTTGGCTCTGATACCAAGTTAACAACCATCTACTCTAAAAACTTAAGTTGTTAGAGAGGGTGCAACTTTAATATTTATATTTTTCAACAAAAGCAACAAGAAGACTACACATGCTTCAACATCCAAACACAATGTAGTGAAAATGCAATGCATGTGGATGAATTAGAAACACCTGCTAGTTTATCCAACAGGATGAAAAGCAACACTCAATAAATGGCTCACAAAAAATATGTAAATAAATGTCATACGAAGGTGACCAATTCATATGACTTTCAGGGATAGAAATGCTCAATGTTCATCTCCCCTAACCTGGACTACATTTAAAGAACAGATACGAGGAAAAATTGCATGATAGGATAAACATCAAAGGTACATACAACCCACCTAATAGCTTAAGCTTTTGGGTCAGATTGCGAAGCACCCAAATAATTTTTACTTAAAAATAATCACTAGCTACATACAACGAGGTTTGTAATGTGAAATACCTGCAAGCTTCCCCATTCTGAATCATAGATTTTAGAGAATTTGCTGCTAGTCCATGTTTCACATCTACCTGATGTCAGAATTATCTCAGCACAATAAAACTAAAGCTTAAAGAAGAAAAGAGCAGCAGGAATACGTAATTTTAGGTCCATAAGTTAACATAAATATGCATTCCAATCCCATCGCAGCAGAATACTGTGAGAAAAAGGAATCATTACTAGCACTAGTAAAGAAACGCATATCACCTTGTGCAAAACACCAGCTCGGTCATAAAATCTTTTTGCAACCTCAAGAGATGTGGCATCCCTTTCACAAGCAACTAAACGGCCTGATTTTGGTAGGACTAAAGCAATGGCCAATGATGAGTATCCCTGGAAAACAATCACATTGTTGTTTCATTTTCTTTTTCCTTCGGCAAATAACTCACGCACCCACTTTGCCCCTATGGGGACTAGAACCCTCAACCATCCTCTTTGAATGATGGAGGAGATGCCACTAGGCTACAACTTTTGATATTGTTACAAATGAAATGAACCAACTTGGAAAAATAATATCAGGTGAGAGCAATCTATTAGTCGACATTGAGCATGTCAATATATCTGACAATTTATTTGAAAAGGGTAAAATGCAACCCCCTAGCGAGTAATATGGATATTGTGTATATTACCCTGATATGATGAGAAATCCACCACAATATTACCCACCAAAAAAATACCACTGCCTTTGGTGCAACCTGATGAAGAGGTTGCTGATATGGGGAAAGATTGGGTAGTTGACAATATTGGAGTCACTAGTGAGCTGTTGGGAGTCTCTTCAGAAGGTAATGACGATCAGACATTATCTATCCTTCAAGCAATTGTGGAAGGAAGAGAGGTTGCAGTAACCAATGAAGTTATGAACACGAGGCCCATATCGTCCTGGAAAGGAGCACAGAAGATGAAGAATCTCATCTCTGAAGTCAACTACGAAGGGAAGAGAGGAGTGGTGATGGAAAGGGGAAGGACCAGGAGTAGGAGTATTAGGAAGGGAGGAGGGGAGATAATTTATCTGGTTTTTAATGAAGCTACAAATCATTACATGGAATGTTCGTGGTCTCAATGATCCGAACTAGAGGAGGGTGGTGAAGGTAGCTTTAAGGAAGTGGGGTGCCCAGGTTGTTTGTTTACAAGAAACCAAGCTGGTATCCATTTCTGACGGGGTGGTTAAGAGTTTGTGGGGAAGAAGGTTTGTGGAATGGGAGGCCTTGAATGCTATAGGTACTTCGGGAGGATCTTAGTCATGTGGGACAGCAGATGGTTATCTGGAACGGACGTATGGATGGGGAGATTTTCTGTGTCTTGTGTGTTCAAGATGGAAAAGGACAATTTCAGATGGGTTTATACTGGAGTCTATGGACCGGTTGTTGATGATGAGCGACCTATTTTCTGGGAGGAGCTTAGCCATGCCCAAGAATTGTGGTCTCTCCCCTGGTGTTTGGGAGCGGATTTCAACTATGTCAGGTCCCCGTCAGAGAGTTCTATAGGGGGAAGGTCCTTGAAAATGGATCAATTTTCTGATTTTATTGATGAGCATTTTCTTGTTGACTTACCAATGGAAGGTGCAGCCTTGGTCAAATGGTAGGGATCCAATCACTCTTTCAAGATTGGACAGATTTTTAATTTCTGGGGAGTGGGAAGAGAAGTTCCCGGATGTCGTTCAGGCGGTGTTAGCAAGGGTCACTTCAGATCATGTTCATTTGGTCTTGGATTGTGGGGGTTTGTGTTCTCGAAGATCCCTATTTAGATTTGAGAATATGTGGCTGTGAGCGGAGGATTTCCAAGGGAAAGTCAGATCTTGGTGGGAAGGAGTTATTGTTTTAGGTTCGCCTAGTTTCACGATAACAAAGAAGTTAAGAGCTCTCAAATTTGCTCTTAAGCAGTGGAACAAGGATGTTTTTGGGAATCTGGAATGGAGGAAGAACAGAGTCCTTGCTGATTTTTCCGAGATTGATTGTCTTGAGAGGACAGGAGGGGATGTGGAGTCTTTACGTTCTAGGAGAGCTTCCTGTCAGGCTGCTCTTGCCGAGATTGCTAGTATGGAGGAGATTTCGTGGCGACAAAAATCTCGGGCTCTTTGGCTAAAAGAAGGAGATCGGAACACAAAATTCTTCCACAGATTAGCTAATGCTCATAGGAGGAGTAATCATATAGGAAGAATTTGGGTGGAAGATGAGGAGTTATGGAGGGAGGAAGAGGTGCGTAATGGGATTGCTTCTTTTTATCATAAGCTTTACACCGAGCCATTAGTTTGGAGGCCCAAACTTAATGGTCTCCATTTTGAGGCTATTTCTGAGCTAGATAGAGATAAGATTAAGAATCCTTTTATTGAAGAAGAAGTTCTGAAGGCTTTATCAAGTTGTAATGGAGACAAAGCTCCAGTGCCTGACGGTTTTACTATGCATTTTCTGATGGAAAGTTGGGCGGTAGTAAGAAATGAGGTAATGGGTACCTCTCAAGAGTTTCATTCTACTGGCGTCTTTGAGAAGTCGCTTAATGCTTCATTTATTGCCCTTATCCCTAAGAAGGGAGGCGCTTCTGACATAAAGGATTTCTGTCCAATTAGTTTGGTGGGCTGTATTTACAAACTCATTGCTAAGGTGCTTGCTCTAAGAATGAGGGAAGTAATGGATGGGATTATTTCAGACTCCCAGAACGCACGCTTTTGTTGGAGGACGGCAAATTCTTGATTCAGTCCTTATTGCAAGCAAATGTGTGGATTCCAGATTGCGTAGTGGTGTTCCTGGAGTTTTATGCAAACTTGATATTGAGGAAGCGTACGATCATGTGAACAGTGAACTGGAATTTCTTACTCTATTTGTTACAAAGAATGGGGTTTGGAAGTAAATGGAGGAAGTGGATTGAGACTTGTCTTTTGTCTGTCCAGTTTTCAATTCTTGTGAATGGTTCTCCCGCTGGTTTCTTTGGTTGCACTCGAGGTATAAGACAAGGTGATCATTTGTCATCTTTCCTTTTTCTTGTTGTTATGGAGGGTTTAAGCAGACTCATGCACAGGGCAGAGGACCTTGGTTTTATTAAGGAATTCAGGGTGGGCAAAGATTCAGTCCATCAGATAGAGATCTCTCATTTACTTTTTGTAGATGATACCCTGATTTTCTGTCAATCACTGATTTTCTGTGATGCTGATGTGTCTCAACTCCGATATTTGAGGTGCATCCTGGCTTGTTTTCAGGCGGTTTCCGGGCTAAAGGTCAATATGGCTAAGAGTGTGCTTGTCCCGATAGGGAATGTTCAGGATATTTCCTCTTTAGCTGCAGTTCTTGGATGCAGGGTGAGTTCTTTCCCTATTCCTTATTTGGGTTTACTAGGGGTCTCTTCAAGTATAGTGGGGAGTTGGGAGTCAGTGATTGACAGGTATGTGAAGAAATTGGCAGGATGGAAGAAGCAATACTTGTCCAAGGGGGGCAAAGTTACTCTTATTAAGAGTACATTATCGAGCCTCCCCACTTATTTTCTTTCTATGTTCCAAATCCCTTGCTTCGTTACGGATAGGATTGAAAAAATTCAAAGGGACTTCCTATGAGGAAGAAGGGGTGATGAGTTCAAGTATCAACTTGTCAGATGGGAGCAAATTTGCAAGCCTATGAAATTGGGTGGTCTTGGCATAAGACGATTAGTTCATTTCAATCAAGCTCTCATGGGCAAATGGTTATGGAGATATGGGAGGGAAATACATCGTCCTCGGCGTAGGTTAGTCTCTTATCGGTTTGGCGAAGAGGTTGGTGGCTGGTCTACACGTTCGGTTTCCCTTGTGGGAGGTGTAGGGACGTGGAAGTCTATTCGGAAAGAATGGGATGCCTTTTCTGCTTATATCAGATTCAAAGTCCATGATGGACGTCGCGTTCGTTTTTGGGAAGATCTTTGGTGTGGTGATCAGCCATTATCTCGTACTTTTCCTAGATTATTCAGTATTACAGTTGATAAACACGCCTACGTAGCTGACTGTTATCCGCTTGATATCAGTGGGATTACATGGGATGTGCACTTTCGGCGTCCTTTTCAGGATTGGGAGTTGGATGAGGTATGTGTTTTTTTGGATCTTTTGTATCGGCAAGAGGGTGGTGGCAGAGATCATGATGATTTGTTGGGTTCCATTTTACCACGATCATTTCGAAGTAAGATCCTTGTTCTTATATCTGTCTAATTTCGATAATCGTGACTTCTCGTGGAAGACTATTTGGCGATCCATGGCTCCAACTAGGGTGGCTTTCTTTGTCTGGACCTCTGTCTGGGGAAAGATTCTGACAATTGATAACTTGAGGAAAAGGGGCAATTGTATTGTTAATCGGTGTTGTCTATGCAAAAAAGATGATGAGTCAGTTGATCACCTGCTAATGCATTGCCCTGTGACGAATAACTGTTGAAATCTTATTCTTGGGTTGTTCGACATGCGTTGGGTAATGCCACGATCTACTAAGGACTTGATTCATGTTTAGAGAGAATGTTGTGTGAGAAGGGATGTACGTAATTTCTGGAGAATTGTCCCACATTGTCTATAGTGGTGCATTTGGAAGGATAGAAATAGTAGAATGTTCGAAGTGAAAGAGTCGTCTACGACAATGTTGAAACTTCACATTCTTCGTTCTCTTTTTAATTACATGAAGAGGAGCGCTTGCTCCTCTTCTGATGATTTAATTATTTTTTTGGATTCTTTGGGGCCTTAGCCCCTGTTCCACTTCTTTTTAAGGGACGTGTTCCCCTTTTGAACGCCTTTTTATGTTATTATTACTTATAAAAAAAAAAAAATTATTACCCACCAAAAAAACACAAAAATCCTCCACAATATTGAAAATGTGCAAAGCGCATTTTGTCATATTGCCTTAAAGGTTACTGCAAATTACAAATACATCCTGTCACCATCTCAAGAGGTTATACGCACAATATCCATATCATAGGGAGGGTTTTTTGCACTTCAATTAAATTATTTTTTCAAAAGACATAGTATATACTTCCTACGTCCCCAAAAAAGGTGTCTTGCTTTCCTTTTTGGGCTGTCCCAAAATAATTGTCCACTTTCCTTTTCTTTTTTTTTTTCCTTTTTTTTTTTTTTTTTTTGATAAGTAAAAATAACATTAAAAAAGACGTTTAAGAGGGGAACGCATCCCAATTACAAAAGTGGAACCGGGACTAAAGCCACAATGAATCCAAAAAAGTAATTAAATCATATGAAGAAGAACAAAAGCTCCTCTTCACATAATTGAAGAGAGAACGAAGAATGTAAAGTTTGACCGTTTCCGTAGGCGACTCTTTTTCTTCGAACAATCTGCTATTTCTCTCCTTCCAAATGCACCACCATACACAATGTGGTACAATTCTCCAGAAATCGCGAACGTCTCTTCTCACACGACAACCTCTCCAAACATGAATCAATTCCTTAGTAGATCGTGGCATAACCCAACACATGCCAAACAACCCAACAATAAGATTCCAACAATCAATCGCCACAGGGCAATGCAAAAGGAGGTGATTAACGGACTCCTCATCATCCTTGCATAGACAACAGCGATTAACTATACAATTGCCCATTTTTCTCAAATTATCAATTGTCAGAATCTTTCCCCACACAGCAGTCCAAACAAAGAAAGCCACCACTTTCCTTTTTCAAACAGTATATTTCACATCTTTCCATATATGTTGTTGGAGCTTAAAATTTCAAACTTGAATATTCAAAACTTAAAAGGTTAAGTTAGTAGCTTTCCAGGGAGACAATGCATATCCCACACGTTCCCTTAAAAATTGCTACTCAGCAAAAGCGACGCTTAAATTGGGATGGAGGAAGTGTATAATTAGGGTTGCGTGCAAAAAACGCCCTTAGTATGCATATAGTGCGTATAACCACCTATAGGTTCTCAAAACCCCCTAACGTTCATTTTTGGGGCGAACAAGGGCCTCCCGTCATTCAGCCATTAATGAAGCGATGAAAATACTAAAATACCTTTCTTAAAGTAAAATAAAAAAATAGCAAAATACCCGGACGTTGGGAAAGAGAGAAACAGTGGACTAGAGAAAGAAAGGAAAATGTTGGGGGAGGAGAGAGAGGGAGGAGCCACAGAGACAAAGGGAGTTAGGAGAGGATGAGATTTATATAGAATATGGGTAAGGGCATTTTCGGGACTTCAACAAGGCATTTTGGGTATTTAGTACCATTAATTAGTCATGTGCCACGCACATGACATTTGTACTTTTCTAACTGTTTAGTTCAGATAAACCCATGTTCGCAACATTTTTAAAATTTTAACGGACTTATATACCCAAACTAAACGATAGGGGTGTTATTTACATAACAAGTAAACCTTAGGGGTGTTTTATATACCTAACCCATATAATTACGCTAATACAATTCACAATTTTGTTGTTCCATTTTTAGCCTTTGACTATTATTGCACCCAAACAATCCATTAGCGGTCCAGGTATCAACAGCCAAAAGATTGTACCGGAGATAATATGCACTATTTTTTTATTTTTTTCCCTGACACTTATAGGAGGGGTTTTTTCGCACTTTAATTTTTCAGTTGACAGAGGGTACAAATTACAATTATTTTCAATAGATAAAGGTGTTATTTGCACAAAAGATAGTGTAAGGGGTTACATACACTACTCTTATATTATATTGGGGATATTTGTACCTTACCCATTTAAATAATATATAAACAAGGTTTCATTCCCAATTACTATAGACTTGCAACAAGGAACAACATTAAAAAGCCAAAAGTACCCCACTATGATGGTCTTCTTGTTGAGAATATGCCCAATCATGTGACAACCACATGCTCCTTTGTGCACTTCATCACCTTTTCTACCTCTTTGGTAGTCGACCATAGTAATAATCCTCGAGGAGTTTTCTCATACATATTCTTTCCATTGAGAAAGAACTATAAGCCCAGCCTTCTAGAGTTTTTTAGCAGTCTGAGTTGCTCCTTCATGATAAATTTAACACTTCATAACTGAGATAGTAGGTCATGTAGGGTTACAGGATGATTTTTGAACAATGAATGAAATTGACAACTGAATTTATGTTTTTTGATCTTGTTTGTGAAGAGCTATATTCTTTCCCTTGAGAAAGAACGATAAGGCTAGCCTTCTAGAGTTTTTTAGCAGTCTAAGTTGCTCCTTCATGATAAATTTAACCCTTCATAACTGAGATAGTAGGTCATATAGGGTTACAGGATGATTTTTGAACAATGAATGAAATTGACAACTGAATTTATGTTTTTTGATCTTGTTTGTGAAGAGTATGACACTAAAATTTTGAGGATGAAATTTCCTTTTAGGTCAATAGACTATAACAGCTGGTTTCCTAATGTTTCACAAATTTAAATATGACAATGATGGACTTGAACTTTATTTGGTATAAGTACTCAATCAATTGTGGTTAGAATTTAGACATTTTGAATAAGTTGGGTGTTGGGTATCCCGAGTATATTATGAAATCAAAAGAATAGGATTGATCAAGAAAATAAGAATTTTTTTTTTTTAACGATAAGAACACACGCTCACTATGCCCCAATAGGGACTTGAACTCTCACCCTCCCATTTATGAGAAGGAGAAGATACCACTTGAGCTAAAGATATTAAGAAATGAAGGAATTAAATTCCAAAATTCATAGATCCATACTGTATAAACACCAACTTCGATGCACCTTTCTGCCCCAAGAATCTGGACAAGCATTGCAAGTAGTTGTGCTTGATCAGGAGATACCTGTTAACAGAGCATGGACATATTAACTTGTAATCTCACAACTTGAAGGATGCCGGACAAAAATGAATTAACAAAAATTAGTTAGACCTATCAAATCCATGCATTAAAATATTCAATATACCGTTTCAAGACTTCCAAATTTAACCTTTCCCTAAAATAATTTCAACAATCTGATTTACAATCTAGGTTTGATGCCTATGAGACAACATAGCTTAAGAGACATTTATAATGCCAGAATTGTTATACCTGGCTGGGTAAACAAAGAATCCCAACTTCAATACCCATAAACAAAGGTGATAGTGCAGATACAACCAAGAAAAAGTTCAATGGTAATTATCAAAGTATAAAACAGTGTAATTTTAGTGACAATGTGTCTAAGTAGGCTTCAAGGTGTCAATATTAGGAGAATTGTTTTAAAATTTAACCAAAAAATGAATTAGAAAAAATACATATACACAAACAAGGAAGTTGAAAAGGTAGTAAGAGATGCCAGGTATACAGGAAACAGCAAATTTGTTCTAAATTAGGTATGAAGGATGTGAAGAATAATATATGCATACTTTTTTGTTTTTCTTTTTTTTCATAAGCAGGTGAATAATATATGCTAACTTACTGAGTTAAGGCAGAAAAAAGAACTAGAAAGTTTTTTATCATTTGAATTTTATCAGGACTGAGTACCTAAGTTTCTTGATGAAATGTGATGAAAATTGAGAAAATTGAAAAAATCTTGGTAATTAGTTAAATGAAAAGATATGGGAAGCTTAAGTATACAAAAATACAATAACCTCATGAAAATAAACAAAAAAAAATTCTTTTAATAAGATTAGGAGTGTGAAGTAAAAATTGTATCGAGTAAGACAGAAACAAGAAAGCTTTAGGATCAGATGGTACTTCTGTAATGAAGGCTTGGAAGTGTTTAGGGGAATAATGGTGTGTCCTGACAACTTAATTTATTTAATAAGATCATAAAAACCAAAAAATGCTGGATGAGTGATAAGAAGGTTTTTAAGGCCTATATATATAAGGCTATGTCTGTCTCCTATCTTTTCCTCCCAGCATCATACGTAACAAAGCTGGACATGGGTAATGGCCTTTCATATGTAAAAATAAAGGATTTATTTATTTTTGATAAGTAAGATTACATTGAAGAGCACTCAAAAGGGGAGCGCATCCCAAGAACAAAAGCCAGACCAAGAGAGTCCGCTATAAAATCAATGTATCCACAAAAGACACTATATCCCCAACTGATTTACAGTTCCATCCCTGAACCCAAAAAAATAAAGTATAAAGAATAGACAAGTTAAGCACCCAAGTTGGAACTTCAACTACATCAAAAGACCATCTGTTTCGCTCACGCCACAACCCTTACGATAAGCAAAGGGGTGCCACCCTCCAAGCACCTCAGACTTGGCTCCTCCCTGTACACCCTCTCCAAAAGCCTCAAGCATACTCTGCGGGGATTCCGGCATAACCCAAGAAACACCAAAAAGGGCAAAAAGCAAAGCCCAACAATTATGAGCTACCGGACAATGCAAGAGGAGACGACTGACCGACTCTCATCTTTCTTGCACATACAGCACGGATTGACAATAATCTGACCTCTCCTTCTCAGATTATCAATAGTCAAAATCCTACCTAGTGCTGTCGTCCATCCAAAAAATTATCATAAAGGATATTTTTGAAGTTGTAAAAATTATCATAATATTAAATTTAAGTCGTAAATGAGACTTTACAAAAAAACAAAATTGAGAATGGACTAAGACTTGAAAATCATCAACGGGAGCTCTTCACCTAGTGCAACTTATTTGCAATGGAGTGAGTCAAACAATAAGATTTGTTCTCCACAGGTCACCTTATGATGATGGTCTATTACTGATGGAGTCACACAATCAGATGTTTATACAACCATAATCTCCTAGTGGTCATTCTTCATCAGCCACCCCCATCATTAAGATCACGAGATCTTCCCTATAAGGTCACCCAAAACAGTCTATTCATCATATATCAACCCTGGCACCAATTGACATGAGATATCTAAATGGAGTCAAACAAATAAAAACGAAATTATTGGGAAGGGAATTCTTCTCCCATCTTTGTTTTTGTTTAATGGGGGGAAATAAAGAAATAAAACATTGAAGTGTATGCCAGGATGTTGGATTATTTTTTGCACACTTAAAAAAAAAAAATGTGAGAATTGAGATATAGAATTCATTTTTTCTAGTAGTTGTTAAATTTCCCCTTATGCTTCATTAATGAAAACCTTTATGACAAGTACAAAATTTGCTACAACCAGGAAAAAGGCATCGTTTATTCCCAGAAAAAAAAAAAAATGGCCTTGTTAACATTTCTACTGTGTGCAAACTACGTCTATTCTAAGAGTAATCAGTGCTGATGCAGCTGAAATATATAAATTCTAGAGAGGAGATTACAGTTCAACTAAGGTAGTGTTATACTAGATACTAGTTATGCATTGTTGAAAGGGGGAGGGGAAGAAACTCTCGCCTGACCAGTTGGTACAAAGAACCCAATCAAATGGTTGAACAAAAGGAGCGAGAGGGCTATACATGCACTAACCAGGTTTAACTCTGGAAAACCACAAATAGAGAACCAATCCCGAAATTTTGCCATCCTCAACAATTCCCCCTCCCCCAACCCAACCCAACCCAACTGATAAAAGGTGAATTTATCAGAAGTATGGCAGAATGATATTAAAACCCCAAATATATATATATATATATATAGTTCACACACATTCTGGGAAAAAAATGATATTAAAAAAAGTACCTGCATCTGACTACCCCGCATGGTGGCAGTCTCCTCTCTTAATTCCCGTAGGATCTGAAATGCAGTAAAGTCATAACAACGCAGATATAAACCTTACAATATCTGTGTGCGTGTCTCAAAACCATGACTAACAAGTTGAAGTTGAAGTGTTCACCTCTGGCTCCCTAACATTTGACAGTAAGTACTCGTAAAGCTGTGGTGTGATGCTGATAACCTGTTTTTTGCCGTACTTTTCGTCCCTGGCGACAACGAATGTGTCTGCACAGCCACAGCAGCTTCTTTTAAAATGATAACTGTACTTGTCATCATTAACGGCGGCGATTGAAGTGGTTGCAGAGAACACGTGGATGAGTCTTTCCGGCCGCAGGATAACTGCGCATTGGGAAGGAAAACCCTTGCGGAACAATTGTGGGCGAAAGATCCAAAAAGGGTAACGATATAGCACCGAGCTAACCATTGCAGCAAGCAGCCAAGCACCAATAACTGCACCATAAAGTAAGAGAGTGGTAGTCTACACGTCTAACATGGACTAATATTATAGTCGGGTCGGATCTGGTTGCGGGAATCCGGGTCGGATCCGGTTGCTGAGGACGTCGTCTTCTTAACGAAGCTCTGCAACTTCCGAATCTGATGCGCAAGGGACGACCAACTATGCAACGTAACAGGGGACGGCGAAGAGGACAAATCGACCCCCGACAACAGATCTTGCCACTGCAAGCTGGAACGAAGAGAATAGAGAGAGGTCGCGAGCCACTGTAAGCAACAGATCTTTTGCCACTACAAGCTGGAACGAAGAGAAGAGAGAGAGATCGCGAGCGCGACGCGGCCGACGACGAGGACTCAACTACCTGTAACACGCCAAGCAAAGACGAGGACAGCAGGAGTCGGCAACGAAAAACAAAAAACGGCGGAAGAACTGAGGAAGTCTCACGGATGGAAGCTCTGTAATAGCCTCTGCGACCCTCGAATCAAGCTGCGGCAACACACATTGGCGGATCGTCTGATACCATGTAGAAGAGGAGAATCAGTGAGTGTGAAGTAGAAGAGGAGTATCAGTGGCGGCAGAAAATTGTTAGGCTAAGGGCCTGTTTGGAAGCCAAATCTGATATTGTTATGATGTTTTGGTTTTGAATTTTTGGCGATATCATGTTTGTGGCCTGTTGTGATATTGAACAGTAGTAAAACATTTCCAAAATAATCGCCAAACCCATATCACCAAATTGATTTGGTGATATTGGGTGATATGGTCGCTGTAGCGGAGATATCATGCCCAAAAATTGATATCAAACTTATATCAGTTACTGTAGCGGCCATAACATGTATAAAATCTCATATTTTAGAAATCCTACCCATTCGCGCCTCTCATTTCTCTCTCTTCTCGCAGCTCGGTTGAGGCGATTTCATGGGCGATTCTTCCTTTAATAATTTTTCTCTGCAAATCTTTCAAAAACCCTACCATTTTCATCTAGTATTTGGTTTTCCTATTGTTTCTCTCTATTCTCTGCTTGTGTGATGTGAATCTGAAACTCTAGTTCTTCGCTTGCGACCATGGAAGGTTTTCTCTACAAAATCATTGGTTTTCCTCTCGTTTCTGTCTGTTCTCTACTTCTATAGCGCGAATCTGAAACCCTAGTTCTTTGCTCGCGACCACAAATCGAAGGTATTTCTCTGCAAAACCATTGGTTTTGCTTTGTTCTCTACGCGAATACGAAACCCTAGCTCGGTGGCGAGCACATCGAAGGTATTTCTTTGGAAAACTTGCAACAGCGACACCTATTCGCGGTATGTGTTCTTATTCGCATGATTATGTGCACTATTTCCGAATCATATTTCAATTTCTATTGTTTTCCTTAACGGTAACCTACAAAACCATTATATGTGTTCTTCTTTAATATCTTTGCCTTTATGAGCCAAACCCTTCTATTTATGATTTTTTTTTTTTTTTTTTTTTTTTTTCAAATACTGAAAACGAATAAAATTTAAGTTTAACTTCTGAAACAAAATATTCGTAATTTTTAAAATATATTTATAAACTACATCGCAGACCTTGAAATGTATACACATACATATTAGCCATATATATTTTCCTTCATTATATCAACCCATGCTAGTTTTAGTCTTCCCCTAGCATTACCCTTGGTAAGGACTTCAATTGGGTATTCAGAAACTCTTAAATATAATTTTTTCGTAATTTGGTTTAGTGACTTAGCGAATTCTTTTAATACAATCCTTATTGACAAATTTGAGTATTGATGTTTAATTTGTGTTTTACCCTTGATTGAGCTTGAGGTTTTTGTCTAATTGTGTTTGTCTTTCTCTTTCACTCTCACTCTCTTTTGTTCTAAATTTGTGTTTATGCAATCACTTTGTGTCAGTTCTTTTTTCGTTTTTTTGCTATAATTATAAGTGGGTTTATTGTCAGTTTTTCGTTGCAAAGAAGCATAATAAGTTGTGAAGCATCAAATATAGATAATAAGGCCTTGCTTGGATTGGTTCTATGAAAACAGTTGACAAAAAACAGAAAACTGTATTTTATTTCTGCTTGGATATATTTTGTGGAAACAGTTTTTGAAAAACTAAAAATTGATAGTTGCAATTTTTAGAGAACAATAAAAAGGTGTTCTCACAATTCACAATATTTGGGTTGTGCTCTACAACTGCATGTAATTTTGCACTTTGACATTTACAATTAAAATTATATTACATATAGTCCATGGTTCTTTTTTTCTTCATACTTCGAACTTCTTGTTGTTTCTTTTTCTTTTTTTCCAGGCAAGTTCATACTTAGAACTTTTGATAGCACAACTGCATTTTTCTCCCCTTTTCCTGAACTTACTCAGATGAATTGTTAGGCTATGATGGTTGCTTCATTTCAACACTAAGAACAAATTAAATGTTTTTTTTCCTTGGCTAAGGAAGTTTGGAAGTGCTTCATGTCTTGCTGCAAATGGGAGGGTGTCCTTCAATATACTAATCTGCAGGAGGTGGTCCAGTGGTTTGAAGCTCAAAGTTGCTAGAAATCTATTTTGTGCCATTTTTTTGGCAAATTTGGAGTAGAGAGGAACTGAGACTTGGTGAAGACAAGAAGAGTGATATAGGTTTGCTTTGATTGCATTCAGTTCCTTGGGCTCAGCATGGAAGATTGATTTTGTTAGTATTTTTTGTTTAATCTTTGGCTGGAGTACTTGTATCAGCAATAAAATTAGGATGTGTGACCTGTTTGTTACTAGATCTTGATCTTAATTGCAATGCTTTATCTTATTGTTGTCAATGAAATTGCCTTTTAATGATGACAAGTGTTAAAAAAAACTTTAAATAGCAAGGTTTCGAGATTAAAGGGACTCTTCTAATAAAATTAGCAATTTTGCAAGATGACAACTGGGGACTCTTCTAATAAAATAAATAAATAAAGAATTTTAAATTATCTAAAATCATAAAAAAAAAAAAATGGACTATTATATGTAAATTTATAATTATATTAATAAATAGTCTTTACCGACAACAAAAATAACTTCCCAAACGTGTTTTGTTTTTGAATTTCTTGAAACGCATGACATTACCAAACGTGTTTTCATATTTTTAATATCAAATTATCAAAAACAAAACAGTCGTTATCAAACATGGTTCCGATTTCTACTAAAAACACACCAATACCAAAACGGTTGTTTTTATATCATACCAAACCATAACGCCTATATGTTAACTGTTTTGGTATTACCAAACATGGTTCCGATTTCTACTAAAAACACATTAATACCAAAACGCCTATATATTTTCGCGATAACATATAGGCGTTATGGTTTGGTATGATATGAAAACAACCGTTTTGGTATTGGTGTGTTTTTAGTAGAAATCGGAACCATGTTTGGTAACGACTGTTTTGTTTTTGATAATTGTATATTAAAAATATGAAAACGCGTTTGGTAATGTCATGCGTTTTAAGAAATCCGAAAACTAAACACGTTTGGGAAGTTAGTTTTGTTGTCAAAAATTGTGAATCAATATCTGGATACCTGTTTGGTAAAACTGTTTTGTTTTTGTTTTGAATAATTATATATATGAATACAAGTATAAGTTTATATGCAATAGTTCATTTTTTTTTTTTTTTTTTTTTAATGATTTGAGATAATTTGTCAAAATAAAATAATAATAAAAGTTGGTAAAAAAAATTATGAATAAATTTATATGTATAAATAAGATCATGTGAGATATTTATAAGGCATAAACATGATTAGTGGCAACTAAACTACGCCAAAAGAAAAAGATAAATGGAGTGCAAAGATCTCCTTTCATTGAAAGATTATTACAAAGTGAGATATTTATAAGGCATAAACATGATTAGTGGCAACTAAACTACGCCAAAAGAAAAAGATAAATGGAGTGCAAAGATCTCCTTTCATTGAAAGATTATTACAAAGCTACTTTGTAATAATCTTTCAATGAAAGGAGATCTTTGCACTCCATTTATCTTTTTCTTTTGGCTTGCACTCCATTTAACTTTGTTTTGTTTCATATATATATATATATATATATATATATATATATATATTATATAAATTCATTATGAATGAGAGAGAGAGAGATCCTTGTAATTGAAACTAACAAGAAGTAAAGCTAAAACGTTGATCTTCTTGAATTGGTCAGAGTTGAGGTTTACTTATCGTGGACATTGAAGCTTCTGAATGATTTTACTTCACTGAGATTAGTTTGAAATTTTCTGGTAGAGATCCTTCAAAGTGTTAATATTTTGATCGTTAACTCATGAGACCATTTCCACTTTTCTTAAGTATTAATTTTGATAACCAACTTCTGAATATTTCATACAAGTTCCAACCATAACCAGAATTGATAAATAGGAAGAAAAATTAAAAACAAGCAATCAAGGAAGATTCCTCTCTTACAAGACTGAACAATAAATCACCCCGAAAAAAATTGATTAAATAAAAAGAGAGGCATGCCATCAAACAAGTTGCTAGAAAAATTATTGCCATCCAAACAAGTAGTTGAAAATATTTTGTAGGATTTTAATCAATCATAAATAACACACCAAATCACAAGTTTTTTTTGTACATTACAAACTTCATAAATTGTTGTTGCACCATTCACATATATACTTGCACATATAGGGAGTTAGACATTCCTTAGAAATTTATGTTTGTACACACACACTTCATTATACTTACATAAAATGTACACACAACTAGAAATCACTAAAATTCATTCCATAAAATGTACACACACGTCTTTATACTTACATACGCTTCCATTTGATTAACTTAGAGATCACTAGCTTCCTGGAGTTGCAGCAACTAGAGAATGCTTCCTATAAATCCCATTGGTGCCACTGCCTATTATAAAAAAAAAGAAATAAATATCATGTGATCTATGGTGTAGACAATAATCTATATCGACAAGATAGAAAAATAAATAAATACTGAAAGCAGAGGAATACCAAAAATATCAGTGGCAGCCTCAATAGCTTTCTGCTTTGTCTTATCATCGGTTATGTTCATGACCTTCAACACCACCTTCTGCTATTAAATTTTAAATGAGAAAAGAGAAGATAACATTTATGGACTACTAATTTATCTGGGAAAAAAAAAAAGAAAAAAGAAAAGGTTAGGGACATGAAAACCAACAACAATTTCTAATGGCTGTAATTAAATTGGTAATCCAATACCTGAGCCATTTGAAGAGCAAGCCAGTATGAACTCTGACACCTTAAAGCCTGAGAGAAGAAGTGAGTTTTTATAGGGATGAGATGTGAGGCCTTGGGTTTAGATAAGAAAGGGACTTGTCTATAAGAAAATTGCAGACCTAAAAGGTGCATACTTAAATACAAAACCATGTCCTTGAGATGTTGCAAGGCTTGTCCTTCAATCTGGTGGCACTGCCCACAACTTACTGCCATGTCCTTCAATCTAGTGCCAGTTCTTCCAAGAGCATATATGGATCACATGGTCTCATGAAACTTAGACCAGAAAATTATTTGGTTAGAAAACCATTTTCAGTGTGATACTGGGTTAACAATGGTTTATAATTCACAAAAAAAAGATATAACGAAGCATTAAGAAAAAAGAAAAAAATGAATTTGAATCTAAAGCAAGACATTACCTACAGTAGCAAAATATAAAGCAGAGTTAGGTTTTCCGATGAAAAGGCCGCATTCTGCTAAGCCTTGAAACAACAAAGGCTGCATTCTGTCAAAACTATGCATGTCAAAACAACTTGGATTCTTAAAGCAATTTAACATTTTCTTTCTTTTCAATTCAAATCCACACTTCAAAACTCTTTAAAAAATCTATTTCAAGTTTCAAAAATCAACCACATGCCTTTTTGGAATGAAAGTTTGAATTCAATTTTTTTTTTTTTCAAAAATCCGGCATGATTTTCCCTTAAAAATGGACATTTTCAAAATTTCAAAACATAATAAACATATATATATTTATCATTCAACAATCAAAAATCAATTTTAACATTTCAAATCATCTTCATTCAATCAATTCAACAAAGGACACCGCCTACAAAATTAATCCACAAATCCAAGTAAAATTGTCCGTTCTCCTTCTAAACTACTCCAACAACCACAAGATATATCTAACATTTTTTTAGGCTAAGTTGCAAATTTGGAGTGTAAATGACATCATGTAAAACCAAATACATGAACAACATTAGAGAAAAACAAAATAACACATGGTAGGAATGAAATAATTAGAAGTAGTAAGCAAAATATATTTAACCTTTTTTCATTCTAACTTGCAAATTTAGAGTGTAAATGACCTCAACATTAGAGAAAAACAAAATAACACATGGTAGGAATGAAGTAATTAGAAGTAGTAAGCAAGATATAACTAACCTTTTTCAGGCTTAGTTGCAAATTTGGAGTGTAAATGATGTCGTGCAAAACCAAACACATGAACAACATTACAAAAAAACAAACACACACATGGTAGGAATGAAGTAATTAGAAGTAGTAAGTAAGATATATCTAACCTTTTTTCAGACTAAGTAGTAAATTTGGAGTGTAAAATGACTTCATGCAAAACCAAACACATGAACAACATATACTACATACCAAAATTAGTATTATTAATAGCCACATTGGGAGCTTAGTTTTAGTATTATTGTTGGACAAGCCGATTTATTTATAAAAAATTAGTGGTAGCCGGAATCGAACTTGAATTTAATTGATCTTTGGTAGTTATAACTTATTTTAGTGATTTGGTTCTTACTCTCATTTTTCTCATGAGACAATGTCAAATTTAGTTGTTTTAAGGATTTTTTACTGCTGTATGGATGTAGTGTAAACTACTTTACAGAGATTTTAATGATATTTTAGTTTTATGTATAGTTTGTGATTCTTTTAACATAATTTTTAATTGAGTATTGATAGAAAATCTGATCTTCGGACAAATAATTTTCTATGAGTATGAATTAAAGTCATTATAAAATTAAAGATATTAAAAATATCATGATAACATTAGATCTCATTCACGTAAATCAATTAAAATTATCGGACTGTAAATCATTTTCCTTCTTAATTTTATCTCCTCTTCGGTTTGCTTGTAGCCATTAGACTTACAACAGAATTCTTTCTTCACCGAGTGCCATCTCAATCTTTGGTATAATACTAAATAAACACTGATCCAAAATACTATGGGAGCAAAAAAATTACTGTATAATGTAATTTCTATGAAGATGGTAGATATGTAAATTCTTAAGGTTATATCATTTTATTTTATTTACGTACCCTGTTTTTAAGTTGGAGTGTTTGGTGGGGAAACAATAATAACATAAATTAATAAATAAAAAATTGATTATTAAATTCTTTATTAATTTTCAAAGTGCTTCCCAACTTTCCTAGTTCACTGATGAGACATTACAATAGAATTTGTTTATGGAATTCCAGACCAATTTTTCTTCTTTATTGGGATTTCTGTGACGGCCCAAGTTTTTCAACCCGGTGCGTCAGTGATGAATCGAAAGTGATCCGATAACGAATCCGAATTGCGGAAGCTAAAGGTAAACCAATGTCTCTAGAGATAGGAGTCACTCCTAAGACACAAATGTGACCCTCCATGAGACGGAACTTAAAGAGGACAAAAACGAAAACAAAGGTCAAAAAGGACAAAATTTGCTATCCAAGGGGCAAAAAGGTCAATTCACTATTAAAAGGAGAAACTTGACTCTAAACAAGTCAAACAAGGTTAATACAACCTAATCTAATCATTTTGAAACATTCCAAGAGGTTCTGTGAACATTGGCTAAGAATCCCACAAAATGCCTCGTC